AAAAAAAAAAAAAAAAAAGACCCAGTTCCCCAAGGAGCTCACAGTCTCACTGATGGAAGCAGATAAATAAATTTTGTCAGTACTGTAAGATAAATATTATGATAGAGGTAAGCACAGAGTGCTATGGGAAGACAGAGAAAGGACAATTAAATGAGAATGTTATTCACAAGGATTTGATGTTTCAGTTGAATTAAAAAAGAAAAACAGGATCTGAAGAAACAGAGATGATATTTTAGGTAGGCAAAAGCTAAAGTCTTTAAAACAGTAAGATATATTTGGAAAACCCCAAGTAAAAGTTCTGAGTATAAGAAACTATGCGTATTGAAGAGTAATACAGAAATAAAAGCGTGCTATGGGATACCTGAAGATGAGGTCAAGACATACCTACTTCAGTGACCTTAGCAAACAACACAGAGCCTGGAACACATTAGGGACCCAGGAAATATTTTTGAATAAACAAATTAATGAACAGCATGTGTTGATACATAAAGCACCTTAGATGTTAAATTTGAGAACTTATATCCCCAAATAAAAAAAATCATTGTTTTTATCAAAATATTTTATCAAAAAGATACCTGCACTTATATGTTTATAGCAGTACTATTCACAATGCAAAAATATAGAATCAACCTAGGTGTTTATGACTGGATAAAGAAAATGTAATGTATGCACACACACAAACATACACAAATGTATACATATATACCTTTGTATATAATATATATACACAAATACCATAAAATACTACCTAGCCATAAAAAAAGAATAAAATAATATATTTTGCAGCAACATTAATGGAATTGGAGGCCACTGTCTCAAGTAAAATAATTCAGAAAGTCAGATAATGCATGTTCTCACTTATAAGTGGGAGCTAACTAATATATACACATGGATGTAGAGTGTGCAATAATAGACATTAAAAATTCAGAAGGGTGAGAATGTATGAGGATGAGGGATAAGAAATTGCTTAACAGATACAATGTACACTAGATGGCTGTTAGTTACACTAAAAGCCCAGACTTCACCACTATGCAATACATCTGTGTAACAAAACTGCACTCTACACCCTAAATTTATACAAAAAAACCCCCATAGGGTGATATAATTATGTTTGTGTTTTAGAAAGCCCACTCTGATGGGGTTGCTTGTTTTTTTCTTGTAAATTTATTTTGTTCTTTGTACATTCTGAATATTAGCCCTTTCCAGATGGGTAGATTGCAAAAAATTTGTTTTCCCATTCTGTTGGTTACTATTTCACTCTAATGATTGTTTCTTTGCTGTGCAGAGGCTCTGGAGTTTAATTAGATCCCATTTGTCTATTTTGGCTTTGTTACCATTTCTTTTTGTATTTTAGTGAGGAAGTCCTTGCCTTTGCCTATGTCCTGAATGATAATTACCTACATTTTCTTCTAGGGTTTTTATGGCGTTAGGTCTTACGTTAATTTTTGTATAAGGTATAAGGAAGGGGTCCAATTTTAGCTTTTTGCACATGGCTAGCCAGTTTTCCCAACACCATTTATTAAACAGGGAATCCTTTCCCCATTGCTTGTTTTTGTCAGGTTTGTCAAAGATCAGACAGTTGTAGATGTGCGACATTACTTCCGAGGTCTCTGTTCTGTTCCATTGGTCTATATCTCGGTTTTGGTACCAGCACCATGCTGTTTTGATTACTGTAGCCTTGTTTACTGTACTTGTTTACTGATTACTGTAGTATAGTTTGAAGTAGGGTCGCATGATGCCTCCAGCTTTGTTCTTTTTGCTTAGGATTGTCTTGACTATGTGGGCTCTTTTTTGGTTCCATATGAAGTTTAAGGTGGTTATTTCCAGTTCTGTGAAGAAGGTCAGTGGTAGCTTGATGGGGATAGCATTGAATCTGTAAATTGCTTTGGGCAATATGGCAATTTTCACAATATTAGTTCTTACTAACCATGAGCATGGAATCTTTTCCCATCTGTTTGTGCCCTCTCTTATTTCCTTGAGCAGTGGTTTATGGTTCTTCCTGAAGAGGTCCTTCACGTCCCTTGTTAATTGTATTCCTAGGTATTTTATTCTCTTTGTAGCAATTGTGAATGGGAGTTCTCTCGTGATTTGGCTCTCTGTTTGTCTGTTATTTTTATGCAGCCAACATACATATGAAAAAATGTTCATCATCACTGGTCATCAGAGAAATGCAAGTCAAAACCACATTGAGATACGAGCTCACTCCAGTTAGAATTATGATCATTAAAAAATCTGGAGAAAACAGATGCTGGAGAGGATGTGGAGAAATAGGAATGTTTTTACACTGTTGATAGGAGTGTAAATTAGTCCAACCATTGTGGAAGACAGTGTGGCGATTCCTCAAGGATCTAGAACCAGAAATACCATTTGACTCAGCAATCTCATTACTGAGTATGTACCCAAAGGATTATAAATTGTTCTATTATAAAGACACATGCACACGTATGTTCATTGTGGCACTGTTTACAATAGCAAAGACTTGGAACCAACCCAATTGCCCAGCAATGATAGATTGGTTAAAGGAAATGTGGCACATATATGCCATGGAATACTATGCAGCCATAAAAAAGGATGAGTTCATGTCTTTTGCAGGGACATGGATAAAGGTGGAAATCATCATTCTCAGCAAACTGACACAAGAACAGAAAACCAAATACCTCATGTTCCCTCTCATAAGTGGGTGTTGAACAATTAGAACACATCACACACTGGGGCCTGTTGGTGGGTGGGGGAGTTAAGGGAGAGATAGCAGGGGGTGGGGTGATTGGGGCGGGATATTAGGAGAAATATCTAATGTAGGTGAAAGGGTGATGAATGCAGCAAACCACCATGGCATGTGTATACGTATATAACAATCCTGCATGCTCTGCACATGTACCCCAGAACTTAAAGTATAATAAA